TACTGTGCCCAAGATGTGCAGCTACACGTATTTCATAGGAGATAAAGGTGTATACATAAAATACGTGCACTCCATGTGAGGGCCCAACATGCACACGTGCAAATGGCTGTGTGTGTGTGTGTGCGTGTGTGTGCGTCCTTGAAGCAACCGTTCCGGACACGGGATCTGCTAACACTTCCCTTCTGGGTTGAGGGCAGTGCGTGACGAGAGTCCTGACCACCCCTCCCTGGACACCCGTGGGGGCCGATGGAGGCCGAATGCGGCCCCGTCCAAGCTCTGAAGTCCCTGTGACCTGGCTCCGACTTTGCCTGCGTGCGGCACGGACCCTCGATGCGGCCAGCGCGGCAAATCGAGGGGGCCGGGAGCCTCCGTATGGCATGTGTTCTAGAGGAGCCGGCCCGGGGGTCCACCTCCAGCCCCCGGAGCTGCTCCGTCTTATTTTTCGTGATTACTTTTCCAACGTTGTAACTTCAAAGCCACATTCTCTTCCTGCCTACACGCCGGAGGCAAAGCTGGGGCCTGTGGGCCAGGACTGGGGAGCCGGGCTGGCTCGTCTGGGGAGGACGCTCCCGGGAAACAGGCCGCCGTGTGTGCAGATGGTCTGACTCTAGGTACCCGAAGCTCACTCTCTGCCGGGACCACGCGACAGGCTCAGATGCTCACAGGCCTTGCCCACCGGACAGGACCACCCACAGACAGGGAAAGCGACCCTGCAGTCTGACCACAAACCACACTGCTTTCCCGGAAATGTCCAAGTGCAGGGTGGACAGCGTAGGGTCCGAGCAGCAGAGGGCACCCGAGGGGTCCACTCTCCAGGGCGGTGAGTACACAGAGTCCCTGCTGCCGAGGCTTCTGCACTGACCCCCGGCCCCCGGGACGCAGGCTGGCGCCCCTTGTGGCCAGCCTGGTGGCCCGTGGCCGCACGTCTCAGTGTTGAGCAGCATGGAGGTCAAAGGTCTGAGGGGTCCCTTGGTATTTCTCGTAGCCAGAGAGGCCAGCACACCCCAAAGTGCATGATCCCAGAGTGGGGAGGCTTCTGGATCGCGCCCTGGTGAATGCAGGTTAGGCGGTGGAGGACACACAGAGCAGCCTTCCGGCGTCGGCTGGAAGCTCCAGGCCAGCGGGGGGAGGTGGGGGACAAGATGTACCCTCCAGCAGTTCTAGGGCAGAGTCACGCGAGTACAGACCGTGCCCCACCCCCCGTGCCCCCGAATTCTGAGAAAAGATCGCTGCGGCCACCAGATCCACAGTCGGTTTATGAAGCCCCAAGCGTCGCCTGGTAGGGAATGTTCTTTGCTGTCAGAGGCAGGTGTAGGAGGAACCCCCGGGCTCTTGGCAAGTCAGACCGGAGGGTCTTGGTCTTACGAGAATGGGTTGGGGACAGGATGAGGTTTAAGAGGGGAATTCTCATGAGTGATGCTCAGGGATGGGCCAGGGAGAGAGGACGTGAATCCGGACGTGATGAGCGATCTGCTTCTCGTGGAAAACACGAGTCGGGTATGAAGGTCACTGTGGGGTCAGATGGGGTGCAGGCTTCCAGCTGGGGGTCCCAGGTTTTGTCTCGTCTCCGGGCTTCTTACTCTGCAAACCTGGGCGCATGTGAAATGCCACACTATATTTTTTCTTTCAAATCAAATTAATCCCACTCCCAGCACTGAGGGGAACTAGTGTCCATCATTCCTGGGGAAAGTTTCTGTCTCCTGTGGCCGCCCCTTGAGTCTAGGGGGCCTTGGGGAGGCCACCTTGGTTGCTGTCCTTCCCACAGGGCTGGGGTCTCTGTTGTCCCCTTGCCTGGTCTGGGCACTGGTCTTGGCCATTTCTGGAGACACAATGCTTGTGGCCCAGCCTCCCCGGGTGCCACACACAACCACACCTCCCCAAGTGAGTCCTGCCAGCCCCAGGGGGCAGGCCCCAGCCTCGTCCTTCCCGCTGTGGGGTGTCTGCTCCAGGACCCCGGGGGCCAGGCCCCAGCGTCATCCTTCCCGCTGTGGGGTCTCTGCTCCAGGACCCCGGGGGCCAGGCCCCAGCGTCGTCCTTCCCGCTGTGGGGTCTCTGCTCCAGGACCCCGGGGGCCAGGCCCCAGCGTCGTCCTTCCCGCTGTGGGGTCTCTGCTCCAGGACCCTGGGTGCCAGGCCCCAGCGTCGTCCTCCCCGCTGTGGGGTCTCTCCCCAAGGCTGGCTCTCCTGTGCTCCAGGACCCTGGGGGCCAGGCACTGGCTCTGCACGCAGGCCTGGCTCCTTCCTGAGCCTGCGTGTGTGATTGGACCAGGGCAGGGGCCACAGGCCGGGCAGGGCCTCCAGGTCAGGGATCCCCCCACGCCATGCGGGGCCCTTGTCGCAAAGTCTCCGAACAAGCACACACCGTCCCCAAAGGCTGGGACCGTGGGCCATGAAGATCTGCCCAGAGACTGTCACCTCCAGGCCCAGCTCCCGACTCCGTCACCTGCTGCTGGGTCTGCGCTCTGCCTTCACTCCCGGGCCCGTCCCGGGCGCCACCTCGCCTGCACTGAGCCCAGCTCTCTGGGGACGTGGGGTGACGGCGGCCAGAGGGCCACCGAAGAGCCACTGCCACGCGCAGGGTTTCGTGTGGGGTGGACACAACCACGCACAGAGCAGAGAGCCATCCCACCGCACGCGGCTTCCCTTTTGCCGACCGCCGACCTCATC